CACTCTTGTCAAGACAGAAGGCACTCTTCCTATTTTCCTCATTAATCTCCACATATGGGAAGCATTTTACAACAAAATTGGGTTATTATACATAATATTCTATACATTTTGGAAGAAATAAGCACACTGTGTTTTTGTCTGTCCAAATCAATAGGTACGAATCCCCTTCTTGTGGCTGAAGTTTTCAGGGTATTTACAGATACAACATGTGATGCTTTTCCCGATCATTTCTGGCCCTTTCGGTTCTCTGTTTGTACACTGTGTTGTGTTAAATGCTCTTTCACCAGTATCTGCAGATGTTGAGGCCTTGATGCCCTTGGACAGCATCAGGATGGAATTAAAGTTCACTCATTTATTCCTTGTCTTTAAAAAACTCTTTATTTTATGTGTATGGGTGTATGATTTTTGCAGCACACGCATACCTAGTTCTCTCAGAGGCTAGGAGAGGACATCAGATCTCCTGAAACTGGAATTACAGATGGTTGTGGGCTACCATGTAGGTGCTGAGACTTGAACCCTGATCCCATGGATTAGAAACAAGTTCTCTTAACCTCAGAGCCATCTCTCCACCTCAAGCTCACTCATTTCTAGCAGTCTATGTTCTCAAGAGCTCACAGAAATTTACAATCTGACCTTCAGTATTTGAGGATCTTGAGTTCTCAGTAACTATCAGTTTTAAAACCTATCAATTACTCAAAAATGTTTATTCATTTGAGTGGAAAAAATGGAATTTCTTGGTTATAAAACTGACAGTCTTACCTACATATGCTTGCTTCAGTTGGGGATTGTCATTTGAAAAAGGACTATGTGAAAGGAAAATGTTTCAGTGGTGAAAACGTTGGATGCTAAGCCCCATGACCTGAATTTGCACTCCTCAAACAAAATAAAGGTAGAAAGAGAGAACTACAAAAGTTTGTTCTTTCTCCTCCATGTGCGCACCATGGCATGTACACGGAATGCACACATGTGTTCACACACATGCTAGTGTGTGTGTGTGTGTGTGTGTGTGTGTTTAAAGAACTTTTCAAACAGGAATGTGAAAAAACACCATAGAAAAAATATAATAAAAATAATGAAATTTTCCCTATATGTAAACAAGATGTACAGGATAAATAAAGCCACATTTAAAAAATAGTACATAAGTAGAAACAGGAAATAAATCAGGAAATCTTTGATTGTAATAATCACTTCTGTGTGAATTGTAGTTTAATTTGGAAAATGTGCTGTGTATTCTTGAAAGCATTATTTTGTTTAATAAAATGTGCTGAGCAATTTTTCCTTATTTCTTGAGATTATAATATAATTAAATCACTTCCCCCTTCCTTTTATTTTTAGTCAGGGTTTCTATTCCATAACCATGGAAACATTTATCAAGGAAAACATTTAATTGAGGTTGGCACAGTCGTTATCATTGTGGTGGGACATGGTGGCATGCAGGCAGATATGGTGCTGGAGAAGGAGCTGAGAGTTCTACATCTTGATCAGAAGGCAACAGAGAGTGAGATTCTGCCACACTGAGTGTAGCTTGAGCATAGGAGATCTTCAAAGCCCACCCCAACAGTGACATGCTTCCTCTAACAAGGCCACACCTACCCCAACAGAGCCACATCTTCTAATAGTGCCACTCCCTTTGGAGACATTTTCTTTCAAACCACCACACCTTTCCTCCTTTCAAGTCCTCTTTGCTATCTTTTAGATTAATGGACTTTCAAACAGTTAAATATTGTTGCATTTATATATCTGTGAATATATACGTATGGCCATTTGGTATTGGGTAATCAACTAATGTTCTCTTCCCTGCAGAAGACTGTTTCTCTAGGTCTCAGCATTCCTTAGTTGCTTGGCTGAGTACTCATGAACTTTTCCCATCCACATTAGCAGGTCTCCACTTGCGCTTGTTCAGCTCTTGGTTAGGCAGTCATGTTGGTGAGACTTTATAGGTGTAGCTCCTGACATTCTCAGGAGACACAATCTCACAGCAAACTCCCTGTTCCTCCAGTTCTCACAATCACCCAACCCTGTCTTGTGGAATGTTTTCTGAGCCTTGGGTGCAGGAGTTATGTTGTAGATGTATTGGTTGGGACTGGGTTGCACACCTCTGCATTTCAATTGGTTGCAGTTTTCTGTAATGGTCTCCATGTGGCTTAAAGAGAAGTTTTTGTGAGGAGGGGTGACTACTACACTTATTTGTAGGTATAAGGACAAATACTTAGACTGTAGCTAGGAGTTATGCTGGATAACTATTATGCTGGTTAGTAAAATGGAGCTTGTGGGTTCTCCTCTAAGACCCATGACTTCATTATCCTGTTTCCAGTACTCAGCATGATTTCCCTCTTGTTAAGCAGGTCTTAAGTCCAATTAGAGCAATGGTTCTCAACTTCCCTAATGCTGAAACCCTCTAATACAGTTCCTCATGTGTGGTGACCCTCAAACATAAAATTATTTTCATTGCTATTCCATACCTGTAACTGTTATGAATTGTAATGTAAATATCTGTGCAAATAATGTAAATTTCTGATGGCTTTAGGTGACAAACCCGCACCATGAACGTGGTCATGACCCACAGGTTGAGAACCTCTGATTCAGAGAACCTATGGATAACACCATTGGATTATCATGTCATTTGGTTGTTGTGTGCTTCATAGGTGTCATAGCTGGGTAGGACTGTTGGGTGCTTCCCTTCTTTGGAAGCTTGTATGATGCCTCTGGTACCATGAGCTAGTGCTCAGCAAGGAGGCCTTCAGATCAGTTCTAGCACCTAGCAGATTATATAAGTGAGGCGATAAGGAGAATGTAGAAAAGCTAAGCCAATTTCGAGAAATGTTTGTTAAATACATTTTTACTCTTATTTTCAAATCAAAATTCCTGGGTTTAAAATGGGACATGCAACAGAGGACATCTATGTACTTCAGGTAGGGGCCCTCCATCTGTGCTCCTTCCTGAACTCCCCCCCACCCCACAGCAAGCTCTGAGGACTCCAAAGGCCTCTGTCACACTAAACTCTGGTTTAGATGATCTGAGATGTAGCTTGATTGGGGGATTTTGAAAGCTCTCATGTGATTCTAATATGCAGCAAATTTTGATATCTACTGATTTCAAGGATAATTTTGTTTGCTCCCTCATTCTGCAAGAAGTTAAGGGAACTGGGAAAAGATATGAATTATGGATGAAGCATAGCATAATGCAGTTTATGGCTTGAAAAAATTATCTATCATTTTCAAATTCCAGGAGCCCAGTTCTTTACCAAGACAACGGGCAATTGTCTCTTTCACTCAACTAAAGAAACACACATTGTATGTCCCCATTTTGATAGCCTATATGGCTAGTTCATTTTGCTCTTGACACAGATGAATTTTTTATATAATCAAAGAAAGTGCACTGGTTCTGTTTTTCTGAAGAAATCCCGAGAAGCTCTTAGCTAAAGGGAGAAAAGTGACTACAAAGTGGTAGCCTCTGATGTGGAATGATGTTACACAGGCTGGTAGGCCAATAGCCAGGCCTTCTTCCTGGGATCCTCATCAGAACAGTGTCTCATCTTCCTCCCAGAAGTGGCGGAGGCAATTTCTTCTAGCACATGCTTTGACTGAAGAGTGAAATAATGATCCAGTGTCCTTCTTAGTGGCAGCCTTCCTTCCGGTGTCTCATAACCATGGAAGACCACTGGGGGACCACTGGAGTCTGTGGGTCATGACCATAGGTGCTTGTCTCTTCATTATCCCAAGAGTTTAAGTTCAGAGGTGGAAAATTCGGCCAGAACAGATGTGAGGTAACTTGTGACAGTGACAAGAAGCCAGAGGAAGGCTAGGGCCTGTCTGAATATCACCTCCCCCTGTGGGTAGTTTCGTTTATATGTGATGTATTTTAGCTTTTTCAGTTTATGGAGAGGAATTACTTCTGCTTTTGACAACAAAGCTATGAGGTTTGTACAGTTTGTACAATAAGGAGTAAGTCATATATAGAACCTAGCAACAGAATGTTTTAAAAATTATTTCTTTTATGTTTTGAGATTATGATATAATTACATCAGTTTTCCCTTCCTTTTCCCTACTCCAAGCCCTCCCATTCACCTCTCTCATTGTTCTCTTTCATAGTCTTGGCTTTTAAAAAATTTAACTGTTCTCTCTCTCTCTCTCTCTCTCTCACACACACCACACACACACACACACACACACACACACACACACACACACACACTCCTAAACCACCTGCTCACTTTGTATGTTCCTTGTATGTATGTTTTCAGGACTGACTATTTGGTATGGGATAGCCATTTGGTGTGCTCCTCCCTGGAGAAGAATATTTCTCCTGCCCTCAGCATTCCTTAGCTGCCTGTAGTTCTTTGTGTAACAGTCGAGATGACTTAGGCTTTTACCTGTCAACCTTAGCATGTCTTTTGCTGTTGTCTTTGTTCAGCTCAGGTTTAGGCAGTCATGATGGTGAGAACTTATGTGTGTAGCTTCTGACATTTCCAGAAAATGCAATTTCCTAGCAAACTCCCTGGTACTCTGGTTCGTACAGCCCTCTTCCACAGTGTTCCCTGAGCCTTTGGCATGGGAGTTGCTACACTGACTTTATCAGTTGCGATTCATTCCACAACTCTGCATATTAATTGAAGAAGCAGATCTTTTGGATCTCCCTCCTGTTCTGCTTTTCTGAAGACCATCCCCAGATAAATACGACTTAGTCTCCAACTAGAGAGACCTCATCCCACCCCCAAGCCCTGGCTGTCACATTCAGTAGTCCTAACCTAGTAGCCCTCGGGTGGAATGAATATACACCAGACACTACCCTGCAGACTGTCCTTTCTGCCTTTGCTAGTTGAGGTGGCAGTATGTACGAGTATCTTGTGCTTTCTGGGAAGACAGGCGGTGAGAACACAGATACTTCTGCCATGTTGGGCTACTAAAAGCAGAGTTCTTCACAACAGATGAAATTCACTTAGAGAAGAAATTCTTCATATCATCTGAAAAAGTCAAAGTGTTTTTGTTCTCATTTCCCTACAGATTATGTTAAAATCATTTGAGAAGTTTTTGTGCCAATAGAGATGCATGACCACAGGAAGCCTCTGTGAATAATGAGACCCTGAACACAGCCATCCTCACACGTAAGTTATGGCCCAGCCAGGGCCAGCACAGGCAGTGCTTGGCTGTCTTCCCCACCTGCTATGGCCCAGGAGATTGGCCTTTGGGGATGACATTGGCTCTTATTCTTGTTCATGTTGCTTTATTATCTTTTATCAAATTAGCATTGTTTTGTTTTTTTTTTTGACTTAAAAAATATTCATAAACTTGGCTTGCATTCAATAAAGATAAGCAGCCGGGATGAGTGTATGTTTAAGTTTGGGGCCTATAATTTTGTCTGTGTGCGCACATTGGACTGTCATCTCGCAGGAGGCTGGGGCTTCCATATGCATGGTGGTATAAATAGCAAGGCTTTGTAATATGGGGGTGCAGCAGCCTCAGAATAGCCAAGCTGGAAGATGTTATGATAATGCTATTTTTTAGCCTCATGCATCTGTGTAGAGGGAGCAGCATCTTATTATGTGTACATAATGTGCTAACCAAATGCCTAGCAGACAGCAGTTGGCTCTGCTTGGCGAGCAAGGCGGATGACAAAGCCTCTGCACGTTGCTGCACGGAGAGGCATAAATTAGACGACGAGTCACAGTGCTGGGGACGCAAGATAACATCCTGGGAACGGTTCAGCCTGTGAGCTGGTGGGCCGTGCCGTGAAAAGGGGGAGAAAACGAAGCTGAAAGGCTATGTGCCAGATGGCTCACGTCTGCAGAGTGTGTTTCCATTGTCCAGGGCTAGTCATTTGTTAGCCCTAGACACTTATCTCTTAAAAACTTCCTACCCAGTCAAAAATCAGCTCTTAATTGAGTGGATTTGTTCAGAAGAGGATGGAGTCCAGCCATGAGAAAAAGCGAGCATGTTTGTAGTGAACACAGGAGCCAGAGGAAAGTTTTTCTGCTTGGAATGGTAGGGTAGGGTCATTACATTAACATTGTCTTTTTAACTCTTCCAAACCCTGCAGATACACTCTTCTGATGGTATGTTTTTTATTAATAGAAAAGCATGCTGTACTTTCTTAGCCAAACAACATACCTATTTCTCATTGGACTACTTTTGTAAGTAATTCATTACAAATGGTGATGCCATTTTAGCTAAAAGTGTCAAGTTTTGTATTTTCCTTCTATATGCACCAATCACTACATCTGTCCCAAGATGCAGGAGTGACATTTCACATTAAGATTTGTGACTATGGCTTAACCCAAACACAGAAAGGAAACCACATGTCATAAAACAGACCTTTCCCAGTGTGGCCAGTAAGGCTTTATCTCCTAAGGATAAGGGTCATAAGGTCATAGAGTAATCTTTGCATCTAGAACTGAGAAGTGTTGACTCACCACTTCATCCTTGAATTCAGTCACACCATCATCCAAGCTGGTGTTTAAACAACAGCATCAGCTTCTGCCTCCAGAGGCTCCCAGAACTGTTGACCCTAGTAAGGGAAAGCTAAGCTTAGATTAACCAGAGAATTGCTGCATTTTAGAAATGCTGTAACACGGCGGGGGGGGAGGGCGTGATTTAAGGGAGCTGAGGTTGCTGTTTGCAATTTAACAGAAACTTAAATGACTGTTCAGTGTAGACATGTTTTGAAAGATCAACCTGTAAATAGGAGAACACAAAGAAACGCTTATTTTTGTTCAAGATGCCAGTTCAGCTCTGGAATCTGCAACTTTAAGTTTGACAGGAGAAAATGACTTCTATTTTTTAACCTTTTATCGAGGAAAATTCCTCTGGAATTTTAAAAGTGAAATTTTCAGAAAAACATTTTTATTTATTTGATTTCTCTACATGCATATGCTCAGAGTCCAGGCAGCACTCAGCTGTATACTAAATTGAGAACAATGTAAAACTTCATGAATTCTGGAAAGGTATAGAAAAGATCATAAAATTCATTCAAGATTCTAATTATGCTAAAAGATTTCTGAGTGTTTTAAATCCTGTATATTCATTTTGTTTAAAGCATTTGGCTAATATGGTCTTATGAATTTTTTTCCATAAAGTAATCAAGGCCTTATCCTTGAAAATGAGCTAAAACTAGACTTGGAATTTGGTACTTATGATCATTTCAGGTCATGATTTTAACTCTTTCTATTGCAATGCCTGAGTAGTCACATGTGATAGGTTCACATTGTATGTGCCTTCCAGCTTTCTTAGGAAGCTCAGGGGAGATTCAAAACGGGGGATAGGGGGAGAGTGTTTTTATAAAGCCAAAGTGAATGGACACATGAAGCACATGTACAGAAAGGCCTTGAAAGCTAGCCATACCCTGAGAAGGACACATCACCATGTAGCTCCAGCTGAGGAAGCTGCTCGGAAGTTTCAGGGCCTCACTCATCATTCACTTGACCATGGAAACAAAGTGGTATAAACTGTATGACTTCTGTAGCTGCCTCAATCCTGTTCCAAACTCCTTGATTCTTTTGATACATGGAAATTTATCCAAAGATGAGGAGACACCACAGTGACACCTTACGTTGAAGTTTATTCAAACTTTCAGCATGGCCATTTTATACATTGAAAGTAGATGTCTCTGAGAATAGATGGAATTGATGGAAGCCTACATCATTTATAAGAACCAAGGTTTTCTTATTTTTTGACAGCACTGCACTTTAAGTGCCTACCCCAAAGGAGTAGGATTCATACTGGACAGTCACAAACTCCAACACAGTGAGGTGTCTTTTGGTCTAGGGGTGGGTGTCTATCCAGTCACAGCAAAATTGTACCCCCAGTGTCATCAGGGAGCATCTTTCTTCCATTCTGAACCATGATTCAAGGTCAGATATGTGATGCTTGTGGTTATCTTTCCTCAGAAATGAGCCAAGAACTGATGCTATTACTCGAAATCTCTTACATTTCCCGGTGGTATAGCTGTTTTCCCATTTTCTTAAAATCCCTTTGTACTTGGATTTCTCTTGGCTGCAGTTGAAAAGGTACTTACCAAAACCCTGAGAAAATTAATTCCTGCTGTTCTGACGCATCTTTCAACACTTGTACTCCGATGTCGCTCACATGCCCCTGTTTGAGTGCTTGCGTGACAGACACTGCAGTGTGAAGCTGACAGCAGGAAGGCAATGGAGTTCAACCACAGCACAGAATACAGTGTATAGCTGAGCCCGAAATGGCACTGTGCATTTGAGGGGAGAGATAGATAATTGAAAACAAGTGTAATTCAGAGAGGTTTCGTACAGGAGATGAACTTGACTTTTACGAATGAGCATCTGTGGAAGGAAAGGTCATGAGTAAGAGGACACTGCATGTGAGGACAAGAAAAATCACTGAGATGGAAACCAGTCTGAGGGAAAATGGCCTCCGTGGAAGGGTGGTGCTGTGGTTGGTACTTGAAAACTGCCCTGGCCAGCAGGGCACAACGGGTTCGAGCCCACGGGAACCTGGAATGAATGAGACAAGAGAGATGGACAGCAAGACAGACCTTCTGATCAAGCTGCGGTTTAATGAAAGTTCTGTACAGGCTTAAATAGGGTAAATGAGGTCAGGGGATGCAGGACAATAAGGGAGGGGTCGGTGCCTAGTAATCGGCTAACCAGTGTTCTTGGTCAGGTACACTGAGGCTAAGCAGCAGGAATGAAGAGGTGTTAGTGCCAAGTAGCCTAATGGCAAGGAAGAGGGTTGAGTAACCTAACTGTAGATTGCTATCAGCTACTCCTGTGAGCCCAGGTTCAATTAATTTGGAAGCTGGGGAGGGGACGGACTATTCTTAAAAAAGACTGACAATATTTACAAGAGGTTCTAAATAACAATGATTGCTCCCAACAGAAAACTAGGCAACTGAGTAAGGCAGTTTTGATCGGTGATGCACCCAATAAAAAAGGATGTACCATAAACTCTAGTGTTTCTGGCCTGGAGGGAAGGACTCAGGAAGGAGTGTGAGGAGGCTGTTGCCAGTAGTTCAGCAATGCTATGTGAGGGGACTGTGACAACATGGACTTGGCTTGTGGCAGTGAAAGCAAAGAAGAATATGAGATTGGTATAAAGATTATATATGCTATTGGGCTTCCAGAATGATAGCTTAAAAGTTCCCATTTGTCCTGAATTTACTATTAGAGCGCTTTTATAAAAGTGGATCTTGCTGATGGCTATGGTAACACATACCTGCCATCCCAGCATTCAGGAAGTTGAGGCAGGAGGATAGTCAAGTAGTGGCCAGCCTGGATATATGACAAGACTATCTGTTAATTAATCAACCAAACCAATAAGAAAAACAAACGAGACTCCCAAATGCAGTCAGTTACAAATCATTCTGAAACATATTTCATGTAAAATCATGGGTTCTTAATAATGTGTCTTTATAATATTTCAGAAGAGTTGTGACCCACTAAGATCTCGTAGTGGCCAGTGACTCTTTTATTTTTGATATGTTCCTAATATAGAGTTGTGAATTTTAGTTTATGTTTCAATGCATTTATTTTTGTTGTGTTTGGTGCTTAAACTACTACACAGTAGATGAGGGGAGCTGCTCGCTCAGTTTGAATCCTTTCCGTTTTCAATCAGACCTATTTTCTCTGACACCTTGACAGCAGCCTCTGCTACGTTTAAATCTGCCATGTCTGCATTCTGATGAGACCCAGAAACAGCTTTGGTATGCAGTTACTTTTAGTGACCATCACATCCACAGCCACAGTGTAGAATATGCCACTTTCTGCCAATAGATCATAGAAAAAAAGTGGTTTCTATATGTGTGTGTGACAGAAAAATGTTAATTGTGAATATGTGTTATTTATAATCCAAATATGAGTTTATTTGCATGTCTTGCTGCTTTCTCTTTGCTAAAATTCTTGATTATGAGCAATATTATCATGATTAATGCCTTCTAAATTTTGGTTGGGATTTATAAGTCACATAGTGATGTAACGATTCCATAGTCTTCCCCGAGTCTCCTTCCTTAGCCTGATTCTTGCTTTCAGTCATGTCTGAGTGAAAACGTTAAATCACAAAAACACAAAGAATTGGGGCTGGGGGTGTATCTCAGTCCTAGAGCCATTGACCTGCCTGTGTGAAGCCCTGAATACTACCCAAGGACCCCTTAAAGAAGAAAATGACTGTAGGCCGTGTTCTATGTTTCAGCAGGTACTCTCAAATAACTGACACCGAGGCTTAATATTAACTATAAGTGCTCAGCCAATAGCTCAGGCTTGTTAACAGCTAACTCTTACATTTAAATTAACCCACATTCCTTATTTGTGCTTTGCCACATTGCTTGGTACCTTCTCTCAGCACAGCACACCCTTCTTGCTTCTCCTGTTTGTTGGTGACTCCTTGACTCCGCCCTTCTGTCTCCCAGCATTCTCCTAGTCTGGCTTTCCTGTCCAATCTTTCCCTGCTCAGCTATTGTCTAGTCAGCTTCTTTACTAAACCAGTCACAGTGACATATATTTACACAGTGTAAAGGAATATTCCACAACAAAGGGCCAAACAGTCTTTAGAACCCTTAATAGATTCTTCGTTTTCAATTTTACCCTTCATCTACAAAGTTCTATTGGATGTTTCCCCTAATATTATTTTGTCCCAGTGTTACTTGTCAACAAATTATTCTTATGTTCAAAAGATACACCATATAGAAGTTATGTGAACATATATAAGACAAATGATTACAGTGCCTGTATTTGGAGGCTCTTAAATACATGAAAAGAACATTCTTAGAGTGCAGTTGTAAAAATGTATACTGGTAATACACTTACAATATTTTGGCTTGAAAATAATACCACTATTTTGCATAGTATTATGCAACAAACTCCAGATATTAAGCTTCCATATGCTCTCATTATGTCACATTTCTTTAGGAAGCTCCTAATTTCTTATTAGTCATTTGAAAGTCACTTGTATTTTTTCTTCTAAATTTTCTTGCAGTATATATTTTATGATGAGCATATCCTACTCCATTCTGTTTCTCCCACTCACCTTAACTCACCCTGTCTTATTTCTCCACTACCTTTTCACCTCTACACTACTCTCCCCTTCATTTACTTAGAGAATTTTACTTCTACATTCACTTAGTACATATGTATATACATGATTATATGATTATATGTAATCTAGGAATCACAGATGAGAGAAAACCTGTATCTGTCTTTCCGAGAATGGCTTAATTTGCTTAATGTAATTGCCTCCAGTTCCATCTATTTTCTCATAACAAACATAACTTTATTCTTCTTGATAGTTGAGAAGCATTCCATGGTACATACCCCCACATTTTCCTTATCCAGCCTTGCTGTTGGACTACTGGGTTGGTTGTATAAACTTAGCCCTCATGAATAAATGCTACAATAAACACAAATGCACAAGTAGCTCTGAGATATATTGATGATAGTCACCTTTAAAGTAATCATTTAATTTTTTATATTTATTGCTATAATCAGCGTGGTATTGACAGAAATTTGTCTTCATAGAGAAGATAAAGTTTCAAAACGTTTTTCTTTTGATGAAATTGGAGTATCTGTGATTGAAAGCTTTAATTAGTAATGATGAATAAATCTGTTTCAGTAAGTCCTTTTGAGGCACATGAGTGGCCAGGCCCTGACCCTGAGGATTTCCAAATGCCAGGTTCTACCTACAGAACACTGTAACTGCCCTAAAGGCTGGACACAGACCCTGTTCTACAGGGTAAAATGCCCAAATTCTGGACTTGAAATTCCACTTAGCCCCAACCTGGAAAGCTTCACCCTGGAAAGTTCTGTTCCTCCCACCTCAGGAGACGCCATACGAACCCTGTCTTCTGCTCAGTTCTTTGCTGTTTCTTACCTTAGCAGAGATGAGAAACTCATGTTTTCCCATGCTTCTTTTGACTTTTCTTCTCCTTTGGGTGTTTATACTCTGTTTTGGAAATTCCTCTTTAAAGGATGAGTCACCTTCAAAGAGAAGAACACTTGTTCTTCTCTTATTGGTGGTTGACAATAAAAGGTTGGAGCTCAATGACTTAATAAGAGAATCAGAGCGGGGAGAGTGAAATGGAAGGTCTTGTACCCTTTGTGGCAATGAAGGGAATGAATAGGAAAGAAAAATGGGTACCATACATGGAGAAAGCAGAATATGGAGACCAAAAAGCCTGTGTGTGTGGGCTGCCCATCTGAGTATTATGGATAAGGAGAAAATGTAGATTATAGAATGAGGGAGATATAGTCAGAGGGTGAGATAATGTCAGTGGAGAATGGGGCTTATGCCTCGTGCATTGTGGCGCTTACTACAGAAACAGACTAACCAAATTACCAGCCCAGATGATAACAACAAAATCCATTTCTTTTGGTTTGAAGTTTTTTACACATACTGATTAGTGGGTAAAACTGTTATGGAGAGCAGAGAAACAATGACTATTTTGAAGAGGGGGACCCCTGAGTGAAGCCAACTGTAGGAGATGTGATCTGGCTGCAATGTGGAGGATGGAAGAGTGAAGGGAAAAACAGATCTGTAGTGGCTCAGAGGAAAGTTGTGAAAAACAAACAAGCAACAAACCTAATAATGCTCTAACAGTAGAAGAAATAAAGATGATGAAAAAGATTGTTCCTTAGATGATTAATGAACTTGGAGAACTTCCAGAAGTGCATTTCTTCTTTCTTGCCCATCATTGCCCTCCTTGTTCTAGAGACTGCCTTTGGCTTAGCATACCTGCCCATGACTTTCCTGGGGTACTCCTCAGACATCCAGAACACTCAGGAACACTTGTTCATAAGACCTAGCCCTGTTCCAGCACAAATATAAAAATGCCATTTCATGCACAGATTTTTATTTGTGTTTCCATTGGATATTATTTGAAGAATGCTTCTGCCAGCTAATGTTATGTTATTTCAATCTTGTTCTAAATTAATCTGTTCATATTGCTTGTGACGGGTATATCCAACAGTAAGGTTGTGGGTTGATTGACACATTTTCTCAGTGACACAAAAACTTCATCAGTTGTTTTTGTGATCACAAACAATGAGATTGTTATTTGACAGAAGGAAGGGCACTTGATGCCAACACTGAGACCAGCCTCTTCTAGTAGAGTCCAATGCTTAATGTCAGTGAGGTAGTTTTCTTTTTAGCTGTTGATGGATTTTGAAATTTATCCCTGGCTTCAAGGACTATCATAAAAGTGCAAATGTGAAGTCCCATTTTTTACATTGATGTTTGGGGATGCACAAATGTGATATTAGAAGAAATACACAAAGGATGCTGAATTTTCTACAATGTTATCCCATCCTTACAAAATGTGTCCTATTAGAATGTCAAAAATGCACTCATGCATGTATTTACAGTTCAGAGGCATGATATGTCTTGGCTATACAGATTCCCATTGCAGGGCCTGGGAGGACTAGCCTTTCTAAAGTACTTTGTTTTCTTAAATGATCTGACTTTATATTCAACTTTGAATTATAGCTTAAGATTTATTAAAACCTATGAAGTGAATTCTTTGAAAACTTTATTTTCACTTCTCTACCAGACTTCTACATGTTTTATAATTAAGATTTAAATCCCATTTGGGGTTTTGTTAATTTAAATGCTATTGGTCTACTAATTAGACTTGAGAATCAAGAATGTGCATCCTAGATTTACTTTTGCCATTGATTGGTTCAGTGACCTTGGGAAAAACCTTCTCAGATGTGATCTTCCTTTTCTTACCAGCTTTATTAATGAGAATAATTTCCACAAAACTCCTAGCTGACTTAGAAGCTACACAAAATTTAGATAAAAGTAAAAGATTGGTTTTTGATATCACTTGTTCTGCAATGACTTAAAAGAGTGTGTAAAATCTATTATTTTCATAGACTTGAAATGAACTAGCTTGCTACATTTGTTTTCATAATTGTTTCTCTTAAAAATGTCCCCTCAGTGTTTCCAGTGGAACTGTAACATGAGGCATTACTCTTTTTAAGTGAGGAGAAGCATAAATGTATTGATTATAAGCAAGACTTGAATAACAACACCAGTGCCTATGTGGAAGGGACCCACCCTGGATGAAGAGCTGCATTCAATCAATGACTGCTCAGAAAGGGAGACTCAGTTTTCCCCAGGAACGTGCTCCGTTATTAGTTATCCAAAGCCAAGTAAGTGGTCACCGTATGTATGTATGTGTATATGGTGTATATATATATATGTGTATGTATATATGTGATTAAAATATATGTGATTAAACATTTAATCAGCAAGTTATTCTCATATAGTGATATACATGCCGCAATAGTAACCGAGGAAAATGATTGAGATAATGAATGACAGTTGAAAGTATTAGGGGTGGAATAAGGGAAACAGTGGGAGGAAGGAATGGGACAATAAGTCGTAAAGAAGATCAAGGTCTATTATGTACTTGTGTGAAATGTCATAGAGCAACCTATTAATATATGGCTATAAAATGAAACCTATTAATAAATGCTAATACAAAGAGAAAATGTTTTCTCAGGATCTTAAATTTTATTCCTGACATACTTTTTGTATACTTTTGGGGGTCAGAAATAAAAACTTTCAATTTGTCTTGTCCAAACAGTTTTCAGGAACTGAGATAAGAGCAAAGTCGAGCCTCTTATCAGTGGGTTTGTCAGTTCCCTCCATGGTGTCTGATGGCAGTCTGTGATTTATGATTATGGTTTGGCTTGCTTCTGTGCATGCTTTATGGATTAGCTTTGTGTTTGTGAGAGTCTCCAAATGTGTTTTGAAGTAGACCTAGATTTTCTTTTGAAATGCTAAAAAATGCTTCTCTCTGTGTGGTCTTTTACTTTCTTTACTCAAATCGCTTCAGGAACTGTTTACTCCATCATCTGGATGGAGAAATCTTAGGCCATGCTGCTATTTCTAGGCCTAGGAAAACGTCTTTGAATGTATATTGTGTGCACTGGGCCTCAAAGATCCATCTCTAATCAACCGTTTGTCACACAGACAACTTTATCAAAGTCAAGGCCAGTGTGAGGACAAAGAACAAGCTATTGTCCATATTCTCAGTTTAAGGGAGGGTGCTGAGGGACCAAGGGCAGCAAGGTTTAGTTCAGGAACTAACCTACTGACACTGCATCCAGACCTGTTTGCTCCCATCTGCCTTCTCGCTCTATTGCCGTTACTCATAGCCATGATTGATCTGCTGCTTTGTACAGCATTTCCCTTAAACGTGTTATTTTGGAGACTTCTCTTAAGCTCACTGTCTTAAAATATACAGTGGGATCTTTGGGTGGGCTGGGGAGGGAGGATTTATTTTGGTTTATAATGTTCTGGAGAGGCACAGCCCATCATAGAGGGGAAGGTTTGGTGATAGGAAGTGGCTGATCACATGCTGGTCACAGTCAGGAAGCAGAGATGAGTCTGCTTTAGGGTCCTCCCCCTCTCTCTGTGTGTGTCTCTGTCTCTCTCTCTGTGTCTCTGTCTCTGTCTCTGTCTCTGTGTGTGTCTCTGTCTCTCTCTGTGTGTCTCTGTCTCTCTCTGTGTCTCTCTCTGTGTCTCTGTCTCTGTGTGTGTCTCTGTCTCTCTCTCTGTGTCTCTGTCTCTGTCTCTCTCTCTCACTTCCTCACTCCCTCGCTCTCTCGTTGCTCTCCTCTCCTCTCCTCTGCATGTAAATGTGAGTCTTTGATTGCTCACTGACTTCTTGAGGATACACGTTTTTCCGATTGCAGCTTAGGTTTGAACTCAGAACTTGCCTCCTCATGATGTGTATATCCATCCTCTGCTTTTAGGGACTCAGGCTTAGTTTCTCATTCTGTTCTTGATATTTTGTCTCCATCATGTTTCCTCAAAGTTCTAGGGAACTGTTCTCAGGGTTCTGAATCCATGCCCTGGTGTCTGTGTTCTGGATAAACTTTGCCTCGAATGCCAGCTGGCTCAGCAGGGATTGCCCTGGACCTAGGAGGGAGCAGCAGCAGGAAGCCAGGACTTCATTGTACATTTTCCTTGTATATTTTAAAAAAGTCCCTTGGCTTTCTAGGCCCTACGGCTGTTGTACCATAACAGCCTTTCTTCTTTCCTGCACTCATGGTGTTGAGTTCTGTGTGGAGGTCTGTGGAGCTGACTTTGTAATTCACCCATGCCATATCTTCCTTGCCATTCTCTCCAGAGGACTCCTCTTCAGCTCAGTAATTACTTCTGGGAGTCAGCAGAAAACAATGTGGAGATATTGGGAGCAGAGAGATGACCTTTGTGCAGATTCTGGAGAGAATACTTTCTTGCTGCTTCAAAGATGAAGAGAAAAATGTTGCTGAGAAATTTGACCTTGGTTTCACAGAAACCAGACTCATCATCAATAACAAAGCCACTCAGACATGTTTTTCATATCTCCTTCTTTTACAAGCTTCTCATTTCGTTTATGAAACAAGTCATAAATATACGAATAATACTAGACTTGGGAAATACATCTACTAGCTACACTTTATGATGCATATTTATCATGCTGATAACTTCTGGAGCTGGTTAAAAACACCCAGACAATCCTAGCTGCATCATGCTATCAGTCTTTTATTTATTGAAAACATTGTATTTGAAAGTCTCACACATTCTAAATTGTAATTCTTAATACTTGCTATGCCTTGTGTTGCCAGTGTGAGCAATTTAATTAGTACCAAACTTAGATGTTTGCTTTATTTTCCTCTTTCACAGACGAGTAGATATGACGTTGTAATTGTCAAGTATGAAGTAGTGCTAGTCCAGTATCTGAGCATAAAAGAATAATTAAAGACAAGGGATTGCAAAGGCTGGAGATTTAGAGAGTGGGCCCTGGAAGTAGCTCTGGGGAAAAGTAGTTTTGGTATTGGACCTTAAGCGTTGCACTAATTTCTTTTGATGCTGCTATAAAATACCATAGCTAAGGCAACTCATGGAAGAAGAAGTTTATTTTGGTCTCAGAGGGGGAGTTCATAATGGCAGGGGAGGCATGGCATCAGGCAGTCAGAGCACAGAGCCAAAAGAAGACATCTTTGACTACAAACATGAAGCAGAGAACAAACAGGAAGTGGCCCAAACAGTGGGTTCAAGTGTTCAAATACATTAGCCTATAAGGGACCTTTTGCATTTAAACAATGGTGGCAAGGTATGCCACATGAAACATTAAGGATAACAGGACTTTGGTTATTTGGTGATTTGGGCTACTGGGTGGTGAGAAATGAGTGCTGAGAAGGGAAGGTGGAGCTGGATTATTGAAGGATTCAGATGCCAAGTAAGAAGCATACTGATAATCAAATTTAGTAAAATGCCATGGAGAACTCAGAAGTTTCCATTCTCTGGTCCCCAGAAATTCTGCTATCTTCATGTGTCTACCTCAGGGACTCTGTGCCACAGGGAGACATATTTCTTTTCTTTTGGGTGCATTCTTAACTCCAAGTTTCTTACCTATTCTAACTGCTTTGCTGTTGCTTACAGGAGACGTAAACAGAGATTGCTAACACTATCTCTGCTGCACCTTATGCAATGAACATTTCCACACATCATTCAACTCTCCTCTTAGAATCAGGGCATCTCTGTTGTCCGTGATGCTGAGTTTCATAAAGACATCTTCATCCAACCACCTGAAGCCCCTTGATAATCTTCTTCCTCCCACCATTCTTCCCCACACCTGCATATCAGTGCCCATCAGGACTCTGACCTTGTTTCTCGGAATACAAATCTCTTGTTGATCTACCATGTAGTCATATGATCTTCTCTTATAATCCAGATGCCATTAATCCTAAGGCATCTAAGTGAAATTTATTGTTATGGAGATGTTTTTGCACTGATAACATCACTTACAATGGATGAATCTATCTGCTTTTCTGATTTAAAGACATGGGACATAGGGTAACATTGTCAGCTTTTTAGCTATATGATAGTTTTTCAGTGTTGCATTAGAGCTTTCTCTGCCACAACTTTAAATGATTTCATAGCCACCATACATTCTACTTTATGAAGAATTTTCCTTTCTCTGTCAGTGTCAAGACGGGCTTGTTCCAGCTCCTACTGCAGATAGTAGTAATTTTATGGTGACTTCCAGGCCCTTCCTAATGCAGCAAACATTTTTTTTCCATGTGTGGCCGTCAGACTGGAGAGCTACAGGGTAATGAGTGTACTAACATTTGACACTTTTTTTCTGAGTAACTACATTGAACCAGAATACTTGCATAGTGAGCCATATTATAATATGCTATGGAATTTAGATTCTGTTGTGAAGTTAAATACTCACATACTGACACATTTTAAGTAGAATGATATATTTGGGAAGCTTTTAAAAATTTTTGAGAGATAGCATTCATTCATCACTTTGCATGCCTCTTACATTTCTCCATACAATCTTGCACCACTAGCCTAGGAGCAATCTCTCTTGTCCTTAAATTCTTTTGCAATCTAGAAAGTATCAAAGTGTAAGAACTATGCCCTCAGCTTCCACATGTAGGTTCTTTCCCCGTCTTCTCTTTCTACTGGGCAACTCCTCCCCTGTGTTTCGTCACAGCTTTAGCACGGATCTGTCAGGGAGGCACCTTGAGTCCTTCAAACTCATTCCTTTGCTTTCCAAATCTCTTGGTTTCATGGTTCAAGAAATGTCTTCTCTTTCAGAACTTTATACACAAAATAATGTGTTTTAATTTTAATGTTGGACTGTTATTTCTTTAAGAGCATTTGCTTTGTTCACAGGAACATTATGGTTCTAGCATACAGTTCATTTTCAAAAAGTGTTTGATCTTTGAGTAAGCATTTTGCTTAGGACTTCACGTATGTCACAGTGTGAAGGTGATGAACACCCTGCCTGGGGAACATGATAAAGAAATGAATTAATGTTACTCTCCTACTCCCATCCTATGTGCATCTTACAAATATGCCAAGGAGGGTGGCAGGCCAGCCAGGCTGTGTGAAATGCTTCTGTAGGTGACATCCTACATAAAATTCTTGTCTTCTAGCCAATCCAAATTACATATATTTTGATACATTTTGAAATTTGCAGAAAAGTTAGAGTAGTAAAAAAGTATTATTTATTCTTTGCCTGAGTTCTTCAAAAGTTGGACTGTCTGTGTGTCTGTGTATCTGTCTGTCTGTCTTCTCACCTACTTATCAACTGACTATGGTTTTAATGTTTACTCTTAAATCCCCCCTTCCTCCCTAGCTC